CTCACTATATTCCTGAGGCTGGTCTCAAACTCCTAGCCTCGAGTGATCCTCCCCTAAGCCTCCCAAAGTGCTGGAATTGCAGGCGTGAACCACTATATCTGACCAGGAAACTTTTACCTTCTTTAAAACTGAGGTCCCCAAAGAGCTTTTGTTAGTGTGGGTTATATGAATCAATATTTGCCATATTAGAAATGAAAAGCGAGAAGGTTTTGAAACACAGGAATATGTGTGCAAGCAAGTGCTTCATTCACTGTCACGGCAACAACATTGTCACTCGGTTTGGAGCCTGTGAAAAGCACCCTTGTGCATGTTTTTTTTTTTTTTTTTGCTTTGAATTCTATTTGTTTCAGAACTACAGACGAGGGGATAGCTTGCATTGCTTAAAATTATCTCATCAAAAATAACTTTTAAAAAATTGGTACCAACGTTATCAAAAAAAGAAAATTGTCTCGTTTTTCTTAATTAGGGTCAAAAACCTCTCCTGCTCTTTGTAACATAAAAAAAAGCATACAAACTGAGCAGTTAACCAAAGGATCAGATCCTGCCCATGCAGGAACACCAGAGAGGGAACCCCAGCGTCAGATGGGAGGCAGGAATAGGCGCCCTCCGAGGTCCTTCCTCCCTAAGATTCTGCGGCAGGTGGAGCTGAAGTGTAATATGATCGCTGAATTTTTCTAAAGTGGTCTAGGTCGTATGCTTTCAAACTAATATATTTAAAATAGGTACAAACTTGGCACTCCAGTCCACTGAGTTCTCTTAAGAGGACGTCATAGTATTATGAGAATAGATTTGATCTCACAGACCCCTTGCTCCTGAGCAGAGGGTGACGTCAATGAGCGTCTGTGCTCTCTGGCTCCCGGGGCTGTGGGTGAGGCACGTGTGTCTTTTCAGACAAGGACACGCTGAAAGGGGTTGACGCAAGCAACGCGCTCGTTCTGCCGGGGAAGAAGAAAAAGAAGACCAAAGCCCCTCCCCTGTCGAAGAAGGAGAAGAAGCCTCTGACCAAGAAAGAGAGGAAAGCGCTGCAGAAAATCCTAGAACAGAAGGAGAAGAAGAGCCAGGTACGGCCCGCTCTGAGGGGTCTGTGCACAGCTCTCCAGCATGGGGCATCTCTCTGTCCTCCCAGCATGGTCTCTGCAGCAGGACTATCCGATAGAACTTTCTGGAATGCGGGAAGTGTTCTATGTCTGCACAGTCCAGTGCAGTAGCCACTTAGCCCCATGTGGCTGTTGAGCCTTTGAAATGTGGCTACTCTGGCTGAGGAACTGAATTTTTGTGCTCACATCTTTTCCTAATCGTTCATGTTACTTATTTTTTTACTTTATTCTAGAGAATTTCAAACTTTCTTTCCCTTAATTTTGCTTAAGCAAAAAGGTCTGTCAGGGGAAATTCAAACATCTGCAAACGTAGAGAGAGTAGTGTAATGAATTCCCGTGTTCCCATCACCAGCTCCGACGGTGATCAGCCCCTGGTCATTCTGGGGCCGTCTCAACTGCTGGTCACATTCCCACCCCTGCATCCTTTCAAAGCAAATCCCAGGTGGTATAAATCTGTACCAGTTTCCTGGGGCTGCCATACAAATGACCACAAACTGCATGGCTTAAAACAACAAGAATTTATTCTCTCGCAGTTCTGGAGGCCAGAAGTCCAAAATCAAGGTGCAGCCGGCTGTGCCCCTCGCTAGGCTCTAGGAGGCTCCTTCTCGGCCTCTCCTGGCAGGCGGCTGCATCACTCCAGTCTCCGCCTCCATCTTCACACGGCCTTTCCTGTCTGCGTCTGTTGTCAGGACGCTTGTCATTGATTTAGGGCCCGCTCAGATACTCAGGACGGTCTCATCTTGAGATCCTGTAACTTAATTACATCTGCAGAAACCTTTTTTCCAAACAAGGTCACATTCACAAGTTCCGGGATACGGACATACCTTTGGGGTGGGCACCATTCAACCTGCTATACATAGCATTTCATCCATAAATATTTCAATTTGTATCTCTGAAAATAGGAACCTTTTTAAATAACCACAGTACCATTAGACACCTAATTTTTTTTTTAATATCTAATGTCCAGTAAATGGTCAAGTTTCTGATTGTTTCATAGGTTCATGCCACCCATTTGGTTTTTTTTTTTTCCCTTGTAATTTATTTGTTAAAGAAACTGGGTGCAGTGGCAGGTGCTTTAAAAAAAAGAAAGAAAGAAACTGAATTGTTTGTCTTGTAGAGTTTCCTACCATCTGCATTTTTTCATTTATTTATTTTGTATTTTATGTAGATCAACTCAGTGTGGTAGATTTAAATTTTATTTTAAACATGCTGCTCTGCCTTCTGAATTTCCTGTGCATTAATATTTGCATCTAGAGCAGTGATTCTAAACTGGGACAGTTTTGTCCCCTGCTCCCCCATCTCCCAGGGGACAATTAGCAATGTATTGAGACATTTTGGGTTCTGACGACTTAGGGGTGGTACTGGCATGTAGTTGGGTGGAGGCCTGGGGTATGCTGAACAGCTCGCAAAGCACAGAACAACAAAAAATTGTTCCGCCCAAATCGTCAGTGGTGCTGAGATTGAGGAACCGTGATCTGGAGGCTTCGTCAGATTCAAGTTTGACAAGACACACGTGTGCTGTGTATGTCCATCAGGAAGCACACGGGTCTCTCCTTAGCAGTCACTGATGTGCAGTCCTTAATAGTCCTTGATAGCACTGTTGTGCTGTTAATAGAGGGAAGACTCATTCTTCTGTGAGTGTATCCTTTTTAAATCCTGTTTAGTGTTTTTTCCCACTGTCCTATACCTTGCTTTTTGTTTAAACTGTGAAACACACATATAGAAGTATGTGGGCTGGGCACAGTGGCTTACGCCTGTAATCCCAGCATCTTGGAAAACTGAGGCGGGAGGATCACTTGAGGCCAGGAGTTCGAGACCAGCCTGGGCAATATAGCAAGACCCTGTCTCTGCAAAAAATTTTTTAAAAATTAGCCAGGCGTGGTAGTGTGCACCCTGTAGTCCCAGCTGCTCAGGAGGAGAGGCTGAGGCAGGAAGATCATGTAGGCCCAGGAGGTCAAGGTTATACTGAGCTGTGATCAGGCTGCTGTACTCCATTTTGGGTGACAGAGTGAGACCTCGTGTCTTAAAAAAAAAAAAAAAAGTATATGTACAATTTCAAAAACAATAAAGCAGAAATTCTTGAAATCCTCACCCAGGTGAAAGAATCAACTGAGGCTGTGTTACTCACGGTGTCTTGGGCACCAGTTCACATCAGCACGTGGGAAGCTGCCTCCTCCCTCGTAACTTCTGGGGCGTGTTGCTCTTACAACTGCCCTGCTTCATCCGTTCGGTCTCCTGTTGGTGGACGTGTGGATGGCCAATAGTCTTCTATCATGACACTCAGTGCTGCAAAGAGAGCCTCGTTTGTACAACCCTAGACTTCATTTAAAGAGACTCCAGCTGTTAGCGATGCTGAGATTTTATTTAGAGTGTCATTTCCCCTCTTGAGAAGAGGGTCGTGATGCCAAATGTATAACACCCTCATTTCCTTTCCCAGCGAGCAGAGATGCTACAGAAATTGAGTGAAGTCCAGGTTTCGGACACCGAGATGAGACTCTTTTATACCACGTCCAAGCTGGGCACTGGGAACCGCATGTACCACATCAAAAAGTGAGTTGGCCAGCCCCTCCCTGCCGCCAGGGCCCCCCTGGGGAGGGCTCACAGATTATGGAGGCTTCTGGGGGTGCGGTGTTTGGGAAAATAGATTTATGGTGGCCTGAGTAGCTGATGGTGGACTGTCCGTGCTAGATGCCTCTAGTTGGTAAAGGCCTGAAGTGTCTTGCCCCGGTGATGTCTGTGTTCCCTGCAGTTTGGAGTCCTGCATCGTAGGTTCTTCCAGCTTTCGTACAGATGATTAGACCAGGAATAGCCATTAGGTGATCAAGAGCTTGATTTGACCCATCTACGGGCTTTGTTTGGTTTGTGTAGTGTTACTAAGGCAGTAGGATTGTTTGCCAGTATGTTACTAAAAGCTCCCCGGGGCTACTGTAACAAATTACCACAAATTTAGTGCTTTAAAACAAGAATGTATTCTGTCACAGTCTGGAGGCCAGAAGTCTGACATCAAGGTGTGAGCACAGGTGGCTCTGTCTGGAAGCTGCGGGGGAGAATCTGTCCCGGGCCTCGTCCTGACTTGCGGTGATTGCCAACAGCCCTTGGCATTCCTTGGCTTGCAGTTGCGTCATTCTAGCCTCTGCTTCCTTCGTCACATAGCGTCCTTCCAGCGTGTACCTGTATCCTCACGTGCCATTCTCCTAGACCCGGCTCTAGGCCCTGAGTCTGGGTCTCTTTTTTCTCTTCCTATAAGAACACAAGTCATTGGTGTGACTAGGCCCATCCTAATCTAGTATAACCTCATCTTAATTACATCTGCAAAGACCCTTACTCCAAATTAGGTCTCGTTTTGAGGTTCTCGGTAGATGTGAATTTTGGGGACACATTATTTAACCCAGTACGGCCAACATTTAAGAAGTAGGAGATTTCACAATAAAATCCAGGTTCCCACCTGGTCTTGACCAGTGGGACAATTGGCCACACCAAGTTGGCATTCCTCCAGGCAGCTGACCCTTCGATGAGCCCCTGTGCCTCCCCAGGGTCCTGCCACGCTCTGTGGCCTCACTCAGCCTGCTCTGTCCAGTTAGATCAGGCCCGTCCCTGCGAGCCCTGTTGTTCATTTAATGACTGTTTACCGAGTGCAAACTCTGTCCCAGGAGCTCCTCTAGGTCCTGCAGATGGGACAGTGCATAAAAAGAAAGTCCTGCCCTCAAGGAGCTTATACTCTGTTGGAGGGAAGCTAGGACATACTGAGCAGAAAACAAAGCGGGGGAAGTGGGTGGAGAGAGAAGGGACAGGTGTCTCGGGCTGTGTGGTCAGGGACAGTCTCCCTGTTAGGTGACATTGGAGCAGAAGCTTGAGTTAAGAGTGAAGGGGGGGGAGAGTTATCTGCAGGAAGGGTGTTTGAGGAAGTGGGAACAGCAAATGCAAAGGCCCTGAGGCAGAAAGGGGCACAGCCTTAGATTCCTGACCTCTGGTGAGTGTTCAGCAGGCCTGGCCAGCCTCAGATATCCGGGACCTCCGTGCCTGAAATCTCTGCCCTCCCAGCAGGAAGCCTGAGGAGCTCCCAGCCCAGGGCCCAGAAAGGTTCAGCAGCCTCAGTGGGGCCCACCGGAAGCGTCGCCGCTTGTCTTCAGCAGAGGAGTCCGAATCCTCAGAGGAGTCTGAGCCAGATGACGCCCCAGCCGTGGAGCAGGCAGAGGCTGAGGCAGGGACAACAGCAGCGCACCTGCCGCCAGCTCCCCTGCAGGCCAGGGACGAGAGCCCAGCACCCAGCACTCAGCCCCCGCCAGCTAGGACTCCCGCTTGCCCGGCAGCAGCCTCCGCCCTGACCAGGCCCCCGGTGAAGCCCGCTGTGTTCATCCCCGTGAACCGCTCGCCGGAAATGCAGGTTCGCTCTCCCGCTGTTTGTCATTACAAATGTAGGTTAGCGTGACCAGGGGCTGGGTGCGAAGAGAGGGCGTCCAGGCAAGGCAGGTTACGTTCTTCCTGTCCCTGCCCCACGGGGCCGTTGCAGAGACCGAGGAGCTCTGACCCACCATGCAGGTGACGCTGGGCTGACAGCAGGCCCAGCGCACAGTTGGGTGATCGAGGTCGGCGTCTGCTGGCCGTGTCACCGTCCTCCTCTGACCACGGTTCCCAGTCCCGGTAGCCACTGATCCCGGTGAGGGTTTGGGCCATGGGATCAGTTGACCTGAAATCCGGTGCTGGCTCTACCACTCTCTAGCTCACTTCCTGGGCCCCGTTTTCTTTGTCTGAAAATGGGGGTACTCCATCTGCTTAAGGTGCACCCCCTCTCTGTGCCTCAGTTTCCTCACCTGGTACAAGGAGAGTTGTCGTGACGGTAAAAGGATCCAGCGTATGTAAAGCCCATGGCACACGATAGGAACTCTGGAACCTTAGAAGTCTGGTCAGCTGTCTTGTCGCAGTGGGTGTCAGGCTTTGGTGACATCGTGAGCACCAAGAGGTCACTTAGCCCTGGGTCTGGCCCAACACAGGTGGTGGTCATTTCCTCTGCCCGTCCATCGTCACATTTCCAGTGAGCGTGTGCTGTGGGCCAGACCCTGGGCGGGGCCCAGGAAATGGAATGGTCTGCGCCCTCTGCAGCTTTCAGTCCAGTGGGGGCGGCTGACATGGACCACACACTGTCATAAATAGGGACAAGAGGCCGGGCTCGGCGGCTCACACCTGTAATCCCAGCACTTTGCGAGGTCAGAGTTAGAGGATTGCTTGAGGCCAGGAGTTCAGGACCAGCCTGGGCAGCACAGTGAGACCCCCATGTCTGCAAAAAAAAAATGTGAAAGAAAGAAGTAGAGACAAGAGCCACGGAGGAGATCGGGTACAGTGAGGGGGTAGCCTAACAGGGCCTGGCCTCGTTGGGGACCGACCGTGTCTGGGGCAAGAGCTGAAGGACCAGCACGAGTTGAGGAGAGGGTGGGACTCTCCCATGCCGAGAACTGCATGAGCAAAGGCCCTGGAACAGGAGGGCTGCTGGGTCCCTGGAGCGCCTATTCTGACCAAGTCAGAGCGGATTGTGGAAACAGGTGCGATCTGACCAGCTCCTCTTTTAAAGATGAAAAAAAAGAGAATGGAAAATACCAGTACATTGATCCTAATAAGTACTATTTATAATGAAGTTGTAATTCCAGTTATATGTGTGCTTGTGTAAAAAGTCTTAATCAGGATAAGCCGATTGCTCTAACAGGTGACCCCAGCCTGCCAGGACTTCACACCACGAAGGTTTATGTCTAGGTGCCATCATGACGCCACCTGGTGGCGGGAGATGGTGTGGTCCCCTGCTCCACACGGTCATTCGGTCATTCGGTCGTTGGGAGGCTCAGCCTCCCCCTCCTCCTGTCCCTGCCATCCCTTGGGACTGCAGCCTTTGCTTTTCCTTGTGATTTTCCCTAACCTTAGTCCTAAGCCGTACATTTCGTGGGTTTGCCTGTTTGTATAAGTGGCATCATGTCAGTTACGTTTTTCCCCGATTTGCTTTTTTGTTACTCGATGTTGTGTCCTGGGGTTCATCCCTGCTGACGCAGGTAGCCGAGCTGCGTTGATTGTCCCCCGCAGTCGCATATTCCACCGTGCGC